GTTTGGATGGGATTGTTTTATGAATTTGGTATTTATAGATAACACTAGAAAGTCCTTCAAAATCCCTCTCACACAACAATCCTTTAAAATCCTTATATTTTTGAATACCAATGGATTGTTTTTAAGTTGTAAAAAATCTCAAATGAATACCAATGGATTTTAATGGACTCTTTAAAAAATCTTGAAAATCCTGATTGAATACCACTGGATTATTTTTAAGTGACATAAAATCCTGATTGAATACCAATGGATTTTTTTACTCAAAAAAAATCTTTTAAAATCCTACGAAATCCTAAACCAATACACCCCCCTAAATTTCTTTTACTTTGTTTCGGAACAAAGAAAGGACAACCTTAATTTAAAAAAAAAAAAAAAAAAACTATCATCTTGTAAATAACCATAATCCAGCTCATGAAAATCTTCGGGCCTCTTACGATCATCATGCATAAAATACACCACCCGATCCTTAAACAATCATTTGATAGCAGCTGCAACCAAAACCCCGGCAATAAAATATCTATCCCCTAACATCTACACCAAGACCCCAACAAAATGGGAACCCACTCGGGAATTGTATTTATGGCATAAACATCAAGGATTAATGGTCCCTCAGAATTTGCCTGCAAGCAACTTTATTTCACGGTTCAACAAACAGAATTTCGATTGTCATCAGTTCTGCAATCCACACAATTTGCTGTAGTACGAGGTGTCATTAGAAATGCTTGACTAAAACAGCTATAACCATGGAATGCAGAAGCTAGTGTTCATGCATGCATGCATTGCAAAATCAGAACATTTTACATAGAAGTAAAGCAGATAACTGCAATTCGGGCAACCGTAATCAAGTAAATCTTTCAACTGTGTGAAGCTTCAATGCCCAACCAATCAGAAGTGTCCTAAACTGTAAACTAGAATCCAGGAAAGCTGCACAGATATCAAGAGTGAAGTCAGATTATAGAACAGTAAAAGCCCCTTTTTCTACAGTGTACAAAACAATGACAAACATAGCATATTACCAGGAAAAGAGTTATAGAAGCAAATAGCCCCTCTTGAAGGAGGGCTCCATGACCACCAAACTCTTCTTCATCAACCTTTAATATTACTGCATAATAACTATATATAATCCCAGAGGATAACACTAGAAAGCTGCAAAACAGGGAAACATTTAACAAATAAACATCAAATTTATAGTGTGTTAAGAGGCCGTGTCACATTTCATTCTAAATAAATGGTATTAAATTGCTAGATTTAAATCAAGAGTTAAAAAAACAAGTTAAAATAATTTAGTCTTTGTACGTTTCGTGGATTCTCAATTTAATTCCAATATGTAAAAACTTACTAAATCATCCCTACATGTTCGAATGTTACTAGTTGGTCCCTACCACTATAAATTGACCATTGACTTTCTAACGCATTCTTAATTTGGTCTCTATATACAAGAACCTAATTAAGAACTTGCTACATGTATATTGAATAGAGAGCAAATTAAAAATGTATAAAAGGATTAACAATAACAAGGATCAAATTAGTAATGTTTACACGTATAAAAACTAATTTAATAAGTTTTTACGAACAGGGATCAAATTAAGAATTTACCAACAAAGAAAAAAAAAACCGGGAAAGAAACTATGAACCAAGGATTTCAATTTGGACAAGGATAATTTCTATGGTTAAAGAAGCAACATGACATTGACAATTCAAGCCTGAGAAAATTATACTTAGTGAAGTCTCAACAATTCTTCTTTTTATAAAATTCATGTTGTAAAAATTGATTTTTGAAACAGAAGGTCACTTAATAACTGTAGCCTGAACCTCAATAACTGATTTATTTCTATAGATTACCAGATGTTTTTCTAAAGGTCATTACAAACAAATCTTCACAAATAGTAGGACATTAAAATGGTAAAAATGAAAACCAAGAAACAATAGCATAACAACTTTAAAAGATAGGTATATCTGACAAGGCCGCCTCCTCTATAACTGGAGTTAAGGTTGATGTAGCACAAGTAAATTTATTCATAGAGGCAATCTCCTAAGTTTTGTAAATAGAACAGCATCTTCATATGTATAATAACATCCACCACCATTGCTTACTTTAAGTCAAATATTAATCACTTCAAACTTTGATCATTCTACATTTATTTTCCACCCATAGACCCTCTCATAGATCTGCTTGTTCATTTTCCATTCTTTCTTTTCCCATAATCAATTAATCATTGATAGAACACTGACTGTCTCCACTATGTACTTCCTTATCTCATAAATTTCATGCAAAATAGTTCGTCCTAAGCCATATGATCAAAGACTACCACAAAACACTTATTGCCAGCACGGGACATTCAGACAAGCTGTTTCTAGATCTATGCATTGCAGTATTGCACCATTTGGAAGACAATCAAAATCAATGAACAAGACTATTGGCGTCATTTGCAATATCACAAGATCAATGAATACAATCAATATACAACTTTAATGAAACATACAACTATAAGATAAATACACTGACTGAGGAAAAAAAACTTACAGGATAAACCATATGCCTCCAACCAAAGGTATGGTACCCCAAAGGAATCCACACGCAAGGCCGAGCCCTTGTCTAATCCAATGCAAAACGTCTCCCAATTGATCCTGCTTGGAGGGACCAGAGTAGTTAGCATATAATTAGATCAATTAAGTAACCACTGCGTAGAACAACAAAACAAAAGGAGAACTTGTAATAACCACTAATTTCCAATCATGATTGCAGTATGCACCGATTCTTAATCTTAAATTTAATAACGCACTATTAAAGAAATTGAGAACATATTATATCAGTCACACAATTATTGTATTCTTTTGCTAACCAAAGTTTCAGTTACGCAAATAATTCAATTCGGCAAGTACAAAATTAATGATTTCATTTAAACTGAAATTTCAGCAAACAAGTTATGAGGGGTCAAACTGGGGCGAGGAATGGATCTACAAAAGATGAAATTGAAAGAACAAACCTTGTCCCAGGAAGCTTCGGGATCAAACAATTTGGCGAATTTGGAAGGCGAGAGGTGACCGTTCTGGTGCTGCTGTTGATGATTCAGTTTAACGGATTTACCCTCTTTCATAGTGGAAGATGAAGAAAAAAATAAGAATCAAAACGAAGCGAGTGTCGAGTGAGTAATGGGGAGTGAACTAGTTCGCACAAAGTTAGGATTTTTGAATCGTTATTGGTGGATGAATGATGATTAGGTCAGCAATTGTTGAGAAACGGCGACGCTGGAGGAAAGGGAAGGAAATTAGGGTTTTGGATTAAAAGTGAAAAAGGGAATCTGAGTGAAAATTAAAAATTGCAGGATTTGATTGTTGGGTGTGGCATCTCATGATGTTTGGTATCTCTCTCTGTACATATGAGATCACTCGCTGCTGCGTTGTAAAATCCAAACTAATTCTGACACAAAGATTGTTTTATCATAAATGTAATTTAAATTATCCAATTCAACTTCTTTTTTTAGTTTAATCAGATATGCCAGGGAAAATAAGATATTGAAAATTTGAAACCATTTCTGTTTTTCTCACATCATAAAAGATCAATTCGTTGTTTAGGATAAATTTGTTATTTTTTATAATATCATATGCTAATGATATATGAAAATTAAATTAATAAAATATTTAGATAAAAGATCATTGAACTCTAAGAGTGTGGTTCAGTGGTAAGGGTTTATCCATTCTTAAGTAAGGTCAGGGGTTCGAATCTTGCCTTGTGTATGTAGCCGCGTTAAATCTTGGGGCCAGTTATCCCACCCTTTGAGCTGCCTCCCTCGTAGCGAGGAGATTAGTCACTGCTGTCGGCTTTGATACTCCAGGGACGAACCAAACAAGATAAAAGATCATTGTAAAACATGATTTTAAATTTTTGGGTCATAGTTAAGGGATAGGGTAAAATATAATTTTAATCTTTTATTTTGTAGTGAAAATTAATTTTTGTTCTTATATTTTAAAGATTTATTTGATTTTTTAATTTGAGTTAATATGTCTCTTTAAAATAATTATCCTTTTTTCTTTTAAAAAATAGTTCTCTTTTTTTTAGCTTGATTTTGAGTATTTTTTTATTAGTTCAAAATGTGAGTTATATCGTTAAATCATAAATATAATAAAATTATATGAAAACTGAATTCTACAATAATAATTTTTTAAAAATATTTAGTGTCAATTATTTATTTATTTATTATTGAACTCTCTTTTAATGTGTTTTTTTTATAATGTTTATAATTTTTTTTAATCGAATATCGATTGAGTTGGAATTTAATTAAATAAACTTCACGTCTTAAGGAATTTTAAATAAAATATTAAAAACATAGTCAAAATAAAATATTATTTTGAAAGGATAATATTCCCTCAAATTATCAAATTTTAAAGTGAAAAGATAAAATAATCTTTTAAAAGATAAAAGATTAAAATAACTTTTTAACGTTAAAAAATCAAAATTATATTTTTTCACACTAAAAATATATTTTGTTAAAAAATATTTATATTGATTTCTTATCTTATTATCAACATCCATTCCTTATCTTACAATCCTCCTTATCTTACAATCACAAGTTATCTGTTTGGCATAGAGAAAAAAAATATGAAAGGAGTGAAAATAAATGAATGAGAAAAGGAAATAAGATAACTAGATAAATATATATATATATATATATATATATATATATAAAATAATAATAATAATAATAAAAGATAA